GACCGTTGGGAAAATGATGGGGGACTGGCTACACCCTAGCCCGTGCCCTTGGGACCAGCAGGAGAGTTAAAGTCTTTCACTGTGGCCAGAGGCCCAGACCAAAGCTCGGCCCCCATGGGAGGGCCTGGTGGCCTTCTTGTCCTAGGCAGGGGCCGAGGGCCATGATGGCATGGTCTTTGCAGTGGGAAAGGCACTGTGGCTGGGTGTCTGAGACCTGGGATCCTGTCCGTGCCCTGTGCTGTCCCTGGGGGTCACCTCCACCCTGGTGAGCCTACGGTTCTTGCCCTCTCTATTGAAGCGGGCAGCACCAAGGCAGAGTCTGCTGCCTACCCCGCCCCCCGCTGCTCTCTCACCTGAGGAAATGGGACTGAGCCCCTGCTCTCCAGGCTGCCAGCAGGGGCAGCCATCCGGGGTGGGCAGTGTCAGCTGTGGGACCCAGAACCTGGGCAGGCATGGTGGGGGTGTCTGCCAGTGTGGCCGAGGACTGCTCACCTTTACCCGGTTCCGACCTAGGGACTTCTCTTTGATGCTTAGTGTGCCTCCTGCAGGTTTTAACCCCCATCCACAGGTAGGAGGCAGGTGCAGAAGATTTCGGTGACAGTCCCAGGGGCTCATGTGTACCCCAAGTCAGAGCCTGGCATGGCCCTGGACTTGCCTGACTCTGGCCTCTGCTCTCAGCCACGCCTTCCCCCAGCCCTAGTCTCCCCCCCCGGGAGGCAGTTTCTGGGCCTTAGCAGAGGCTGAGAAGCCAGTTCGGGCAGGATTTGGGTCAGATTTCCCTGCCACAGCCAAGGAGGAGCCTCCTGAGTCCCCACGGGCCCAGCGGGCCTGGATCCCGAGACAGAAGCACCCATTCCACCACTCACCGCCCCACCCACTGGGAGCTTTGGGCCTGGGCTGAAGATCCAGCCACTGGTCACAGCATTGCCACCGACCAGCTGTGTGACCACAGCCAAGTTTGTCACCTGTCTGAGACGCCCTCACTCATCTGTAGAATGGGGGCGATACCGCGTCTGCTGTCGAGAGTTTTAAACACGACAACGGGGACAGAGCAACCCAGGTAGCGTCTAGCACGGGGTGAGTCCCCTGGATGCAGACCCCAGCTCAGGGCCACCATAGCAGTGCCATGGCGCCTCAAGCCTCGGGAACTCCCTTCCAACGAGACCCTTCCCGAACGAGGGTATTAGAAAAGACCCCTGTCTGGCATCAGTGCCGTTGACGGTGTGATGGATGTGTGCTCCCACGTTATTCATCAAAGCCCCACGTCCCTCCCAGGCAGGACCCAGCCGAAGGAACCCTGAGGCCACACTCTGGGCCAGTTCCAGAGCCGAGGGCAGGCCGGGCAGGGCCATGTGAAGAGTTGGGAATGGACTCATTGCTGGAGTCCCTGGGTGCCCAGGTTTTATTTATTTATTTGTTTGTTTGTTTGTTTATTTATGTATCGTGTTATCCTAGAGGAACGTTGAGACTCAGGGCTGCTTGGTGACCATCCCAGGGTCCCGAGGACAAGGAACAGGGACCGGCCCCCAGCCTTGTCTTTCCTACTTTCCCCTCAGCTATCCTGGATCCCATGACGCCTTGGCCTTGTCGTCCCTCCCTCCTGTGTGGGGCCCTCTGAGCCCCCTCCCCACCGCTTCCCCACTGTTACCGGTTGGCCTGGCCCAGCCCCCACCCTCAGCCCAGCCACTGTGGCTCAGAAGCTGCTGGCTCAGGAACCGCCAGCTTTTGCTGAGTGAGCGAGTCCAGAGGTGCTGTCTTGGCACAAACCACCACTAGCAGAGCCTGCTCCCTTCCTGCCTCCTCAGGGTCGGCTGTGACGAAGGGGGATGGTGCGGATGGGCAGGAGGAAGGCGAGGGCAGAGGCGCTGGTGGCCCCCACCCCACACTGCCGCCAGGGTCTTCAACTTCAGGGGGAAAAGGGTCCTGAGGCCCAGAGACGGTTGCTGTTTGCCTGGAGTCACAGACGGAGAGCTGAGACCGCTCTCCACAAAGACCAGGGTCAGAAAGTCGGCCTGCCTTGCTGGGCTGTTTGCCGCAGCTGTGAAACTTCCTGCCTCAGCCCTGCCTGCCCAGGCTGGGTCCTTCCTCATTGATCCACCCTCGGTTTGCATAAAATTTGCACTAACAGTAACAGAAAAGGCAGTTCTCGCTTAAGCGCCTCCTGTGCACCAAGGTCTTATGCACGATCTATGCGTTCAGTGACTCTCGACTAGGGCCATTGGGATTGTCCCTACTTTATAGAAGTGGAAACTCAGATTCTCAGCACTGAAGCATTGACAGTCACCTGTCGGACAAACGCAACTGAGCACCTGATGTGTGCTGACTGCCTAATGTGTGCCACATACAACCCTGGGCCCCGGGCTGGAGGAGGTGGAGGGCAAAGATGTCTGAATCCTGTCCTTGCCCCCAGGAGACCTCATGTTTTGTCATTCTGCCCGTGTGACATCCTGGTGAGGGCCTCACTGGGAGCATCCCTATTTTACAGATGGAGACTGAAGCCCAGAGTGGCAGGTGCGTTGCCCAGGGTCGATCCCTGGGCTCAGCTCTCCAGGTCTCAGGACCCCACCCTATGTCTGCTGTTTGCCTTGCAGCCAGCCCCACTCAGACGAGGGCCACCCGCCACCTCTTGAAGCTGTCCCTGTCCCCTGGAAGAGTGTGGGTTCTTGCAAAAGCCACAGGGAGCCCCCTGGAGGCCCGGTAGAGACCTGTGCAGCGGAGGAGGCCCAAGGCCAGGAGGGTCCTGCAGCCGCCCAGCTGGACGTGTCACGCCTGCGCAGCTCGTCCATGGAGATCCGCGAGAAGGGCTCGGAGTTCCTGAAGGAGGAGCTGCACAAAGCCCAGAAGGTGGGGGCCTGAGGGGGAGGGGGCCGCCCGGGAGAGCTGCGGGCTCTCACCCAATGCCCAGAGAGCCCATGCACCCATCAAGGCCAACTGCTTGCCAGGCCTGTGCTGGGCATGAGGTAAGTCCAAACAAAAGGACAGACCACTTCTTCCGGTGACTTTTAAATGACTTTTAGAAGCCTTGACTCCTCTGAAAACCTGTTCCAGGCTCTAATGGACTGACAACTGGGGTTTCAACCTCACGCCAGGAGCTAAATGGAACATGCACCATAAACTAAGGCAGTAGAGGAAGCAGGCTAAGGCCCAGAGGCCCTGGCAAGATGACCCGGGGCATGGAGCCTGGTCAGGGCGCCTGGTTCCCTCGATGTCAGGCCCAGGGGCTCCTGAGGGCTGACAGCCGCCCGCCTCGTGCCCCCCAGGAGCTAAAGCTGAAGGACGAGGAGTGTGAGCGACTGTCCAAGGTCCGGGAGCAGCTGGAACAGGAGCTGGAGGAGCTGACGGCCAGCCTGTTCGAGGTACGGTGGCCGGCCGGCCAGGGGGCAAGCTGGGCGCTGGGTCTGTCGGGCGTCCATCGGCTCCTCACCACTCCTTCTTCCCAGGAAGCCCACAAGATGGTTCGAGAAGCCAACATGAAGCAGGCGGCATCAGAAAAGCAGCTGAAGGAGGCACGGGGCAAGGTGAGGCCCCCACCTGCCCAGGCCCGCTCAGAGCTCCCGCCTGCCTCCCAGCCCGCAAGCCCTGCCTTCCTCCTACCCAATCAGACCCTCAAATGGCCTGGTGGGGCCCCCAGGGATGGGCGAACCGAGGTCCGGAAGGGTGGGGCAGAGATGATGCGGCTGAAATTCCACGGCACCGCAGAGATCTTTCTGGAGCGGGGGCCTTCTAGGGGCCGGGAGGATCCTGTGGCCATTGTCATTTACTTTCCGTCCTCCTGCACTCCCTTTACAAAGCAGAAACCTCAGTCTGGCTGTGGGAGGCTGAGCAAGCATCTTCTTGTCTTGGAGTCCGCTTGCCCATCCACAAACTATGAGGGCTGGGCTGTTCCTGGCTGCTGGGGCCCCCTCGGTGGGAGGCCCGGCCAGGCTCCCAGACATGAGCATCTAATGGAGTCCCGGCTTACAGTGCGACCTTGGGCGAGCCATGTCACCTCCCTGAGCCTCAGTTTCCCCATCTATAAGACGGATATCTCAGTTCCCATCTCAAAGGTCGTTCCAGGGGTGACTGGCGGGATTAGATGCTAGTTGCTGCTAGAGCTGGGGGGGTAGCCTAAGCTGGGGTGGCAGGCAGTGGCAGCCAGGGTGGTATTAACCCTGGGCGAAGGTTGGCAGCCACCTCATTCTGGCCAGATCGACATGCTGCAGGCGGAGGTGACAGCCTTGAAGACCCTGGTCATCACGTCCACACCAGCATCTCCCAACCGTGAGCTGCACCCACAGCTGCTGAGTCCCACCAAGGCCGGGCCCCGCAAGGGCCACTTCCGTCACAAGAGCACCAGCAGTACCCTCTGCCCAGCCGTGTGCCCTGCTGCAGGCCACATTCTCACCCAGGACAAGGAAGGAAGAGAGGTGAGGGGCAGAGGCCGGACAGTGGACACGGAAAGGGGAGACGGTCCAGCTGTCAGCCGGGCAGTGGGGCCCAGTGGGTAGCAGGCCTGTTCCTCCTTGCTTGTGTGACCTGGAGCCTGTCCTGTCCTCTCTGGGCCCGTGTGAACTCTGGCCATGAGGGCTGGGCAGGCTCCTTGTGATATGAGGTTTCTGGCCCTCCGCCTCCAGGTGCACAATCTGGGGGGCCTGATAACCCCCTCCCCGCCCCTCCAAGCAGTCGGTGGCGTGCTCTGCACCTGAGCCTGGCCTTGGGCCTGAGGGCCTGCCCCCGAGGGGTCTGCAGGGTCGCACACTCCCTCCGCCTGAAGAGGCCGCTACTGGGCCTGCCCCATGGCCACACTGCTGAGGCCCAGGGCTATACCTGGTGACAGCTCTGGGCTTGAAAGTCCCCAGCATCCTCTGGCTGTGGTGCCCAGACAAGCATGGCCTTTGGGGACTTTCTACCCCTCTGCAGCTGGGTACATGGGGTCCTTGGTTCAAGCTGGACAATGGACTACAATGTCCTTGGTTGTGGGTCCTTGAGCAAGTGGGGCCACTTGTTAGTTCTCTCACTTGGTAAATGGGGACTCTTGAGGACCTAGAGGAACTGATGAGATGTGGATGTCAGGGGCTCAGCTCGGGGCCGCACCCAGCAAGCACCCACGGGAGCTCTAGTGGGGTTCGGCTTCCTGGGAGTCTCAGACACCAAGACGGCCCCCCAGCTCCATCCTGTCCTGTGTCTCTGGAGCTTCTGGGGAGGCCTCTTCTCCATCTCTTGAATTCTGAGCTTCCAACTGGATGCTAACATCTGCCTCCTCCTGTCTGTCTCTGTTCACTTGTCTGTCTGTCTGTCTGTCTGTCTGTCTGTCTCTCTGTCGGCCCAGCCTGGGCTGGCCCCCCTCCTCTCCCTGCTCCTCTGCGTGGTCCCCAGCAAGGCAGTTCACCTCACCTACGAGCCGGCCTGGCAGCTCCCTCCTGGGGAGCCGCCCACAGCCCCCACCTTCGCTACCTCTCTGTCCTTTTCCCGACAGGTAATACCTCTGGAGGGGGGGCCACCCCCCTGCCTCCCAGCCTCACTCATTCTGCATGTTCCTCGGAGCGGCCAGGATGTCGCCCCTCAGAGCCTGTGTGTGTTCCCTCCTGTGTGCATGTGCCTGTGTGTGCCTGGGGTTACCTGCGTGTACCTGCGGGGTCCCTCTTCAACCTACTCTCCTCAGGGAGGCCCTGGACCCAGGTCTGTAACCCCATAGTGCCAGGAAACTGAAAACACACCTGGAAGTGAGACTCAAGTTCTCAATTCTTTGATGCAAAGGGAAGAAAGTGGGTTCTTCTTCGGGACTCAGGTCTGCACGGCCGCTGGGGACAGGCCCGCTGGCGTGCTGCGGCCTGCCCTGCACCCGCCCTGGCTGCCACCTCCTTCAGCTCTGCCTGTCTCTGCCATGCTGGCCCCCAGCCCCCTGACCGCCCACCCCGCTTGCCCTCCTCCACAGGTGGACACAACCCTGTTCGCAGAGTTCCAGGCCTGGAGGGAATCGCCCACTTTGGACAAGACCAGCCCCTTCCTGGACAGGGTGTACCGGGAGGACGTGGGCCCCTGCCTGGACTTCACCACACAGGAGGTGAGGCGGGGCAGAAGTCGGCCAGCCGGAGGGCCCAGCCCCCCAGCTGGAGGCCTGCCCCTCACCACCCCGCCTGCCGCCCTGGTCTGCCGCAGCTCTCGGCGCTGGTACGGGCTGCTGTGGAGGACAACACGCTCACCATCGAGCCCGTGGCTTCTCAAACACTGCCCACAGTGAAGGTGGCCGCAGTCGAGTATGGCAGCACCAAGTAAGCTTAGCTCCCGTCACCCCTTCCCGCCCACTTGGAAAGCTCCACTTAGCTTGACTCTGCTGAGGAGGTGGCCAGGGAAGACTGAGCCTCAGGCCTGCCTGCGGGGGTCCTGGCGTGGCACCCGGGGGTGAGCAGGGGCTGTGGCATGCGGGCCAGGCCCAGGAGGAGTACAGGGGCACCTGCCAGGAGAGGGACAGTGGCTTCCCCCACTTAGGGCAAAGAGGCATCTTTGGCTCTGCCCACTGGCCCATCCTGCCCCTAGTCATGGACCCTCAGGCTCTCCAGGGAGTCCGGGAGCTGGGGTCTCCCTTTTCTTGGCTGGCCTGATGTGCATCCCCCTCCCATTCCCGCTCTCTCCCACGGTGGGTTCTGCGCCCCAAACGACACGTAAGTGATGTCAGTTGCCAGCTCTGCGTTCTGCTAGTGAAAAACCAAACAGCCCTGGCATCTCGTCCTTCCTGCTACGCAGCCGACTTTGAGCAGGGCTGGAGCAGAACAGCTTAGCCAGAGTAGAGCAAGGGGCGGAAATCGGGGAGTGCTTCTCCTCGGCCTTGGAGGGAGGCCCCCTGGGGGAGCCTCATCATGGAGGGGGACATTTTAACCGGGTTTGAAGGATGAATAGCAGTTTGCCAAGTAGGGAGGGGCCGTTCGGGCCGAGGGAACAGAACGCGAACAAGTTTGTGAAGCCGCGTGTTAACGGAACACCACTTAGTTGGCGGCTGGAGCAGGGGGGCGGGCAGGAAGAGGGGGCTGAGGCTGTAGAGGGTGTTTAGGGTCCAGCTTGGTTAACAGTCCATCCCAGGGGCTTCTGGGCTGCCCCCACCCCTCTTTGGCCTGGCTCTGGGCTCCCTGGGAAGCTGGGTGGGGGAAGAGGGTGCCAGGTCCCACTCCCATGTCTGTTTGCTGCCCCTCCCTCTGTGGCTCCTCTTGGCTGCTGCATCCTCCTGCATGAGCTGGATGGACAAGCCCCAGCTGGCCCCCATGACCCCCTCTGCTTTCCCCCAGCACATGCGCCCTGAGTGGGTTGGCCCGTGCCTGTCGCCACCGAATACGGCTCGGGGACTCTGAGAGCCACTACTACATCTCGCCATCCTCCCGGGCCAGGGTGAGTCACCCATCTGGAGTGTTACTTGGCTCTTTAGGGAGCCCCCTGGGCTGAGACTCTGATCCCTGGGCTTGGCAGCACAACCTCGATCCACAGAGCAGGCTCAGAGAGGCGCAGAGACTGACTCAGGGCACACAGCCCAGCCAGGTGTGTTAGCTGCCTACTGCTGCATCACAAATTATCATAAACTCGGTGGCTTGAAAACTACCCATTTATCCTCATCTCCCTGGGTCGGGAGTCTGGGCACAGCTTAGCTGGGTCCTCTGCTCAGGGACTCCTGGACTGCCTCAGTCAACATGTCGACAGCTGCATCCTTCTTGGAGATCGGGGTCCTCTTCCGAGCTCACGGGGCTGTTGGCAGAATTCAGTTCCTTTGTGGCTCAAGGATTGGGATGTCTGTTTCCTTGCTTTGCAAAATCATGGGTGTGACGTCCATTATCTCTGTTGTCTAATGTGACCTAATCAAGGGAGAGACACTAGCTTGTAGCTCCAGGCTTCTGGCCCCAGGCTTCGGGAAGGGCTCTGAGGCGTGTCTGTTACACAAGCTGACAGTCAAGCCATGGGTGCCGAGGGGCCTCTGCGACGCCCGGCTTCCACCCTCTCGGGCCATGTGACCCAGGCTGGATCAGGCGACCTCACCAAGATGCAGGGTAAGGGCGGGATGGTTCCCGTTCCTCTGTCCCCTTATAGACTGAAGAGGATTGTAAGGAATTAAATAGAACATGCTAGGAAAACTCCAAAGCTCGGTGCAAAGGTCTCCCCTTCACCTGCCAGAGGCTCCTCATGGGGACTAAAGCTGACAAATGGCCCCATCGTTGGGCATTTGTAGAGTGAGGATAGCTTTTTCAGTCCTGACACCTTCCATAGGGCATTGGAGCATGTTGTCCTGACACAACCCACCCCCCTTCTGCCTCCCAGCAGTGAGCCAGGCTCTCATTTACCCAAAGGGAGTCTGAGCCTTAGAAAGGGAAGGGGCGTTCCCGCGGCCCCTCAGCCGACCTGGGGTCTCCCTCTTCGGAATCGAATCTTTTTGCCGCAGCCCTCACCCCGTGCATCTGTGCCCAGAGCCATATTTGGTGGCCACTGGTCCCCTTCGCCCTTTCCGATACCAACCAGCGTTTAACAGAAGGATCCATGTCGGACATGCCCATGTCTAGAAAAATTACGTCTAGCACTTGGCTTCCTACAGGCCTGCCTGTGCGCTGTGCTGGGCGGACCTGGTATGGGAGATGAGAGCGCATGAAGCTTTAGGATGTGGTCCCCACCCTGAAGGGACCCAGGAGTGTGGAGTCCAAAGGAAGAAGAATTCTGTCCCCAAAGCATGACCCTGGAGAGAGAACCTCCCTGCTTCCTGCCGTCCCCTGATCATGGCCTCCCGTGGGGGCCCACTGCCCGCTGGACAACACTGCAGCCTGGTCACACCCTCCCCTCTCCCGCCCACAGATCACAGCCGTGTGCAACTTCTTCACCTACATTCGCTACATTCAGCAAGGCCTGGTGCGGCAGGACGGTGAGCGCCCTCTAGTGGTCAGAGTGGGGATGGCGCCCGGGAGGGCACGGTAATGGGCCAGCAATAGAATCAGCCCGAGGGTTTTGCTGTCGCTTCTGAGGCCTGGACTCTGTGAGTGGGGAGGTTGTGTGTTAGTAAAGGGCTGATAAGCCTCCTGGTGCTGAGATGAGCTGCAGAAGGAGCCTCATGGGCCCCGCCTTACCAGGAAAGCCAGCCCAATGCCACCCCCGTACCTGGGTCTGGCAGCTTTCTCCTGCCCAGACCCTCTCCCTACCCCCAGGGACCCGCAGGAACAGCTCCCTATTACTGGCTTGGCACTTGAGGCCTTTCAGTGGGGCCTCTCCTGCGAATCCCCTCCCCTCAAGGTGTGGCCTCCTCATGGTCCCCTGAACACCAGCCTCCCACTGTGCCCTGGTTCCATCCATTGTCCTCTGCCTCCCATTCTGCAAAGCCTAGCTTCTCGCTTCTCCAAACTGTTCCCTGATGCGTCTCCTCTCAAACCACTTTGGAGTCTGAGCCTCTCCTCCCTAGCTTGAAGGTCAAGTTCAAGCCAGGCCAGGGGATGAGCCCTGGGGGGCCACCTCCTTCCAGGTACATGGGCTGACACTGTGGCCCTGTTTACTACTCAGGGTCATTGTGCTATCCCAGCGAGGTGGGATTGGAAAACATTTGTAGCATGTTGAGTATGTGGCGCTGTGCACATGCATATCTGTGTCAGGCTGTGGAAGTGACTATCACCTCCTCCTCCAGTGCAGAATAGATCCTTTAGTACTCAACAGTTTGCGAGGCCTCAGAGTGGAGCCTCGGAGACGTCCAGCCACTCACCGAGGTCATCCGTCCTGAGGGACTGGGGAGCCCTAGAGTGCCCGCCAGCTGCCCTGCCCAAAGCCGGGAAGGGGGCCAGGCTGACTGCCTGGGGTGACCTTGAGCTGTCATTGAGCTGTCCACCCTTTCTCTGCCTGCAGCAGAACCGATGTTCTGGGAGGTCACGAGGCTGCGGAAGGAGATGTCACTGGCCAAGCTGGGCTTCTTCCCCCAGGAGGCCTAGGGCCTGGCCTGGGCCTGGAGCGGGGCTCAGAGCTGGAGCCAACACCTGCCCCAGGATGGACAGACAGCAGGAAGACAGAATTCTGCAGTCACCCCTGAGCCAGAAGTTGAACAGACTAATGGCTAGGCTACAGAGGCAGCACTGAGCCGGTACCAAATGTCCATCCCGGGACAGACAGGACCTCACGAGGTGACCCTTCTCTTTTCCCTAGTGGTACCGCAGCCACCAGGAGACTCTCCAGAAAGTACCAAAGACCAAGGAGCCTGGACCCATGCTCAGGGGCTCAGCACTTGTGAGGGGACGCCTGGGGCAGCCAGTACCCCTCACCCCTAGTCCTGGGAGGTGCTGTCTGCAGGTGCCTTGTTGCTGCCATGTCCTCAGAAAGGGACCGTGCTGTGTGGCCTGATCTCTGGAGTATCCCCCACCCCAGTTCCCAAGCCCGGGGCCACCAGCACCCCTTCGTGGCCATCCCTCACCTCATTCTCAGGTGCCCGTTCTGTTGGACTGTCCCAGTGGGCCTGCCATGGGAGGGGCTGGCGGGGACATCCACATCAACAGGTATCTGCTTGAGAACTGCCCCCCAAGCGTTCTTAAGCTGGATCAAGGCTCCTCCCGCCACCCTCACCCTTGACGTCCCCCGTCCCCGACCTGAGCCCTGTGCCCCAGGAGGTTCTGCCCCCACCACCGCTGGAAGGACGGGGGTACTTTTCTCCCAAAGCAAAACACGGACAGAGCCTCAGGACATCATGCCTGTTTTCAGCGGTGGGTGACCATTCAGACAACAGGGCCTGAGGTCGCCAGGACCTGTACGCAGGACCGGGGTGGGGTGGGGTGGTGGCAGGACCCAGGCCCCTCCTCACCGCTGACAGCCCACTCGGGACCCAAGTACAACCTGGACACATCCCTCACCATGTCCGATTTCCTCCTCTGAAAGGAATGTAATGCGATCTCTATTTAATAAAGGAAGCCTTTGTTGGTAGAGGCCGGCAGCCACGCGCCTGCACCCCTGCGCCCTGGGGCTCGGGCCAAGTCTTGGGCATCTAAAGGAATGAAACCAAATCCTTTCCTTGCCCACCCACCCTCGTGCTTAGGATTAAACCCAAATCCTGAAGGGACTGCTAGAGGGAGCACCGTTTGAGTCCTCCCCAGCATTCCGTGGGGCTGTGGGATGTGGCTGCTGTTGGGGAGAAAAGGAGAAGGTGCTAGAGCTTGTTCTGCTGCTGCTTCATGGGGGGTCTTGGGCACACACCCCCTTCTAGTCTCCCTGCCTCGGTCTAATGGAAGCCCGGGGCTCAGAGCCCAAGCTTTGAGGCTGCCTGGGGTGTGCAGGACAGTGGTGGAGTTGATTGGTGATGTCTGCGAGCAGCATAGACAGGGGCTGTGGTAGCAATGGAGGGGACGAAGGAGGATGAAGGTCTGGGCCTTGGAACTGCCTATTCCCGCCCCCAGCTCCTGTGGCCCAGGCCCAGCCACACCAAGGCTAAGGGGACACCAGGCAATATTTCAGAGGCCTGGCAGAGGGTCCCACACCCCAGACCTGCTCTGCCTGCCCCTGCAACAGACAGCACTTCTGTTGTCAGGCCCAAGTGGGGCCATCGTGAGCAAACACTAGCTGGGACAACCCAGGTAGGGGGGTGAGGGACCGGGGGATACACATACTGTGGCCCCAGTAGCTAATATAACCCGGGCTCGGTCCCAAAACAAGTTCGTTTAATCCTCACAGCAACCCGATACTATTTTCCCCATTTTATGGATGAATCAACTGGGGCACCAAGAAGTCATGCAGAGGAAATACGTCCAGGACAGGAATGAATGAGCTCAGCTCCAGAGCCCTCAGTGTTAACCAGCATCCTAGACCCCTTTCACTAGACACCTGCCATGTGCCTGGTAACCAGTTAGGCCCTTCCCTGCTTTTCGGAGATGGAGAAACTGAGGCTCAGGCCGTGCAGAGCCAGTTTGAATCTAGGTTTGTCATCCGCATTTGTCCCCACTTACAGCCATCTCCACCCCTGCTCTGCCGGCTTGGGGTGGGGGTGAGGGATTCTGGAAGAGCTCAGGGCTTCGATTCTTGGAGGTGGGAGGGGAGAGGTAGCTGACATCAGCCACACAGGAGCTATTCCTCTCAAGTGAATTTTCTCGATAATCCATTTGGGCTTCTCTAAGTGCCTCTGGCACATGTAGCTACCTCATGAAAGCTTGCACCTGAGTCAGACCACTGAGCCTGAGCCCCACCCCGAGCCTGAGCCCCACCCCGCCATGACGTTGGCACTACTCTGATGTCCCGATCCGATCCCGCCAGGGCTGTGCACCTGAGCAAGTCACGCCTCTCTGGGCCTCAGTGTTCTCACCTGAGAGTTGGGAAGATCGGACTAAATGACCTTCGCGGCTCCTCCCCCTTTCTCATATATTTTACCGTAAAAAAACGCGTGACATTTACCACTTTAGCCTTTTTTAAATGTACAGTTCAGTAGCGTTAAGTCTATTCACATGGTTGTGAAACAGATGTTCGAACTTTTTCATCGTGCAAATCTGAAACTCTGTCTCCATTAAATAAGTCCCTCCCTTCCCACCACTACCGACGGCAACCACCATTCTACCTTTTAGGAAGTGGACTACTTGAGATACTTCGTATAAGATGAATCGTGCAGTATTTGTCTTTTTTGTGACCGGCTTATTTTACTTCACATAATGTCTTCAAGTTTCATCCACGGAGCATGGGGCAGGATTTTCTTTCAAAATATTTAATGCTGAACGATATTGCATATATGTGTATAAACCACCTTCCTTTATCTGTCCACCCGTCGATGGACATTTGGGTGGCTTCCGCCTCTTGGCTGTTGTGAACATGGGGTGCAGGTATCTCTCTGAGACCCTGCTCCTCATTCCATTGGATATTTGGATGTACCCAGAGGTGGAATCATTGGATGATACGGTCATTCTATTTTTGATTTTGGGAGGAATTCTATTCTGCCTTTCACAGCAGTCACGCCATTTTGCAATCCCGCCCGCCACGTGCGTGGGTTCCAGCTTGTCCACAACCTCTTCAATGCCTGCGACGGTGGCGCTTTTTGGTAATGGCCGTCCTGATGGCTGTGAGGTGATACTTCATTGTGGTTTTGATTGGCATCTCTCTGATGATTAGTGATACTGAGCATCTTTTCATGTGCTTGTTGGCCATCTATACATAGCCTCTTTTTACTAAGGGGTTATTCATTTTAAGGAGCTGTCATAGCAATACCTTCAGGGGGAGCCTTTTGTGGTTGCTCTTGAATTCTGCGGCCCCTGCCCCCACAGACCCCACCTTTCACAGAAGAATCCAAATCCTAATAACCAAGCTTTCAGTGTGGGGAGCTGTAGCTCCAAGCCAAGTCCTAAAGCTCTGACCTGAGTCCGCTTTGTGTGTCTGCTACAGCTGCCTAGGCTTTGCGACTGCTCTTTCTGGGAGGCCCAGGGCTTTTTCATCGGCTTGCCAGACTGGCCCATGGCTGTGCCTGCACCTCTTGCCTGAGCCCCCCCCGCCCCCGGCCTGAACAAGCGTCACTGAGCTCCAGGTCAGTGGCTGGCAGCCCCACAGCGGTGGAGACTTCAGTATGTCCCACAAGAGGGCTGTGTGGCAGCTTGTGGCGGGGAGAAGCCCAGCCGGGGCTAGGACAAAGGCTGTATTTGAGTGATTTGAGGGGCACTCCTCAAACCTCAAGGCCCCCCCCCAAAATGTTCCAGCTGGCCAGACCCTCCCTTGCCTTTTGGCCAATTCAGTCTTCTCCCTAAACCCAACACCCTGGCAAGTGGCCCAATGGCAGTGCAGGAATGTCAAGTGGTACCTCTTCCTTTCCAAGTGGTCAAGAGAAGGCTCCAATGGGGTTTGGGGACAGTGAAGTCCCAAGTCCCCCATGACTCTAGGAGAGCTGCAAGATGCACTCACTGGCTTGAAGCCCAGCGAGGTGAAGCGACCGTTCAAAAGCCCCGAGGCCTGCAGAGAAGTCACGTGGGACGCTGTCATGTCTGCTGTGGGGAGGGGACGCAATTCAGGTGTTATGGGAACACAACTCCGGGTGGCAGGAGGGTGCAGCTACCTCTCTCTTCTTGCTGGGATGCAGTGGCTGGAGGGGTGGCCGGGCCCTGAGCCCTGTCCTTGCTTTACCTCCCGGGAACCCTGTGTAGGCCTTCGTCTTCCTCATCTCTCCAGGGGCAGCTGGGGGAGGCTCTGACTCCCTCGACACCCTGGCTGCCTCGCACATGAGCTAAGAGTGGGCCAGGGCCCAGGGAAGGCATCAGGGACAGCGTCTGACCACGGGGGCCTGCTGAGGATGGAGTGAGGGTCGTGCCCTGCTGTGGAGGGGCTGGGGTTTTGTTTTGCTCTGTTGGTTTGTTTTTTTCGACGAGAGCATTTAAGATTTACTCTCTTAGCAGCTTTCAAATATATGATATAGTATTATTAACTATAGTCACCATGATGTACATTAGATCCCCAGAACCTATTTGTTTAAAAACTGAAAGTTTTTACCCTTTGACCAATATCTCCCTATTTCCTATACCCCTCAGCCCCTGGCAAACCGTTCTACTCTGTTTCCATGAGTTCGGCTTTTTTAGATTCCACATATAAGTGAGATCACACAGTGTTTGCCTTTCTCTGTCTATTCCATTGAGCATAATGCCCTCCAGGTTCACCCACGTTGTCACAAATGGCAGGCTTGCCTTCCCTTTTCATGGCAGAATAATATTATATATGTATGTATGTATGTATGTATGTATGTATGACATCTTCTTTATCCATTCATCTATTGGGGTGATCTCGGGGTGTTTCCACAGCTTGGATACTATGAATAATGTTGCAATGAACGTGGGAGTGTAGATAGCTCTTCCAGATCATGATTTTGTATCCTTTGGATATATACCTAGAAGTGAGATTGCTGGATCATATAGTTCTATTTTTAATGTTTTGCCTTCCACAGTGGCTGCACGGATTTACATTGCCACCCACGGTGCACAAGGGTTCCATTTTTCTCCACATCCTCTCCAACACTTATCTCTTGTCTTTTTGATAACAGCCGTTTGAACAGGTGTGAGGTGATATCTCATTGTGGTTTTAAAGTGCATTTCCCTGATGATTACTGATGCCATGCACCTTTTTGTATACCCATTAGCCATCTGTATGTCTGTTTTGTCCTTTGCCCATTTTCAAATCATGGTTTTTTTGCTATTGAGTTGTATGGGTTTTTATATATTTTGGACGTTAACGTCTTATCAGATACATCATTTGCAAATATTTTCTCCTATTCCATAAGTTACCTTTTCAGTTATGTGGTTGTTTCTTTTGCCGTGCTGCAGCTTTTTAGTTTGACGTAGTCCCGCTCATTAATTTTTGCTTGTGTTGCTTATGCTTTCGGTGCGGTAGCTACGAAATTGTTGCAAAGACCAACGTCGAGGAGCTTTCCCCCCGTTTTCTTTAAGGAGTTTTGTAGTTTTAGGTCTTATGTTTTGGACTTTAATCCACTTTTTGGCATAAACTTATATATTTTGCCAGAGCAAAGTTATACTTGTGAATGAACTCATGCAACAGACACTGTGCAGTTGCATCATGTAGAGGCATTTGCAGTGGACGGGGGTGGGCCTGCTGCTTGCTCATCCTCATCTGCCAGAAGGAGAGGGCAGCCGGCATGAACTCCATCACCCTGGAGTTTTTGGTTTTTTAAATTGTATTCTCCCACCCATCCCCCATCCCTCTCCCTTTGGCAACCATTAGCTTGTATCTCTATACATTGGTGCAGAAGGTTTATTTCCTCCAAGAGGCTGCCTCCTCCATCCTCGGGCCCACGTATGAACATGGTAGAGGTGGGGGAGGGGGGGTTCTATAGTGGCCTCCAGACTCAGCTGCCAGCCACATTCCTCTCTACCCTTCCCCTCACACCCCATGCACACACAGCCTGGGGAGCGGGTTTGAGGATGCCTCAGTGGAGAGGACTCAGGGACCCCCACTGGTGGTGACCTCACGACTTGCCGGTTGTCCTAGCAACCAAAGTGGGGGTTCTTGGTACCAAGGAGAACCCAGAGGCCTCCTCAGCCCTTTTCCTGGGGCCTGGTCTGCCTACCCCACAAATACTAACTACGACAATTCCCTACAAATTATTAGACGAAGATAAAATGTTAGCCCATCCGAGAAACATACAGCGGACCCTTGAACAACAACACAGGCATTGGGGACCGCCAATGCCCTCACAGTTGAAAATCCACATATAACGTTTGACTCCCCCAAAACTTCAGTAACCTCCTGGTATACTTGAGGGACTGGTTCCAGGACCCCTGCAGATATCCAAATCCACAGATGCTTAAGTCCCTTCTATAAAATGGTGTCGTACAATGCACACAGTCAGCCCTCTGCATTCCGGATTCCCGCCTGGGATGGAAAATACTATTTTCCATTCACAGTTGGTTGAATCCACAGATGGGAAACCTGGAAATAGAGAAGACTGGTGCTTATTGAAAAAGGAAGTCTACGTACTACAACTGGACCCACACAGTTCAAGCCTGTGTTGTTGACGGGTCAACTGTACTTACGGTCTTAATGGGTATACCTCAGCCAGAACATCAGTGGCAGCTGGGAACTTGTTAGAAATGCCCCCAAACCCCACCTGCTAGTTGGGCCCAGCTGTCCTCAGTCTGTGTCTTAAGCCCTCCGGTGATTCTGATTCACACTCTGTTGACACACTGCCCCGAAACATAACCTTAGCCTGATTTCAGCCGTGCTGGGTGTGAACTCTCGACCTTTAGAATCAGAGATCTTTATCTCAAAGCAATAAAAAGTCATTTGTGGAGCAGCAACCTATACTATCAAAAGAACTCAAGTTTAAGTAAAACATGAAGGACAAGCCAGCCGTCCAGCTGAGTCCCCACTACTAACTTCGGTGTCCCTGCATCCCTTTCGCCTCAGTGGCCACCCTTCGACATCCCCAACCCTACAGCCGCGACAGCAGGATGACCACTGGCCCCCACAGACGGCCCGCGGGGACAGGGGACAGAGCCAGACCCTCAGCCGCGACAGCAGCCTCGGTGCGCAGACGTTGGGGGCCCCTTGTCTGAAAGCTGTTTACGGTCACCCGGAGGTAGTGTCCCCTCCTCTGTGCGCTCTGGGTGTAACGTCCCAGGACGCGTGGCAGGAAGCTGATTTGCAGACTGTTGCTCCAGGCCCGCCGGGAGCAGACGTGGGTCCCCGAGGGCGCGGCGGACACCAGCAGTGGGCGTTCGGCCCCGTCCCGCCCCCTCCGGGCCGAGGCCCGACCTCGCTAGGCGGCCGAGCCGGGGGCAGGGCCGGGCTCGGTG